TGGTGCATTGAGGGGACACAAGCGCGCGAGTGCTCTCGTCTTTCGGCGGCCGCACCGTCCAGCCGTCATCGTCCTTCGCAGCCGCGGATTCTGCCTAACGCCTTCGACGCTGCAGTTAGGCGACTTGAATATCGAGGTAGCGCTGAACAGCGACGTGCCGCCCTCACCACCACCGCCCCTGCTCCAGACTGTGGCCCCCCAGCAGCCACAAGCCGGGGCAAGTCAGGGCAGCACGGGTTTGCCATTCGACGAAGAGGCCAAGCTCGTGTACGGTGTGATGGTTTCGCTACGCGCGATGGTGAAGAAGCTTTCTGGACGGTATGGTCGTATCCCCTGCGCGTCCAAGTTGTGGTGTCTGATCAAATGATCTGCATCCTGCAGAGACGAACAGTTCACCTCATACAAAACTTCCGCATACAAGCTTCACCTCTTCGAAACGCTCTCTGGCTACAAGTTCATCATGCTTTCCGACCCTTCTACTGATTCCCTTCGATTCATCCTTCGTCAGATCTATACCGGCCCCTTCCTCGAGTACGTTGTTCGCAATCCCTTGGTTCAGATGGACTCGAAGGAACGAGGCATCGATAATGAGTACTTCCGCGCGAGCACGGACCGTTTAGTCAGAGGACTGTCTGTTTTCCCGTAGAAGGGCAACGTCGCGTTACTAGCGAGGTGGAGGAGCGACAATTGCATGAACATCCATATCCTTGATTATCCGAAGTAGAGTAGATTGCTAAGCTGTACATCTAATGAAATCAACAATAACGGGAACTAAACAAAATCAGTCCTCCATATCCGTCAACGGACTGGCAGATCTCGCGTCCGCCTCCTTAGTGCTGCTCTCCTTTGTCGACAATTCAGGCTGCCCATCCCGCTCGCTTTCTTCACTCTCAAACTGCTTCCTCAACACGCTCATCAAGCTCTCCTTCATCTGCTTCTCAGCCTGTCCCTCGCCTTTGCCCTCGCCCTCCACCACCTCCCCTGCGACGGCTTCATCGAGGGCCAGTTTCGTCTCGCCCAGTCGCAACATGTCCTCCTCGATCGTACCTCTGGTGACGAGTTTTACGACGTCGACATCCTGTTTCTGACCGATGCGGTAAGCGCGATCTTGGGCCTGCCTGTCATTGTGTGGGTTGAAGTCTTGATCATACCTTTTCGACCGGGGAACAAATGAGTCGAGCAGCACGGGCGGCAAAATGATGAAACGCACATGACGACAACACTCGCAGCAGTCAGGTTGATGCCCATTCCACCAGCACGGGTAGACAAAAGGAAGACTGGTATTGACTCGTCTTCAGTGAAGTCGTCCACCAGGGCCTGACGGGCGTCCACTGGGGTTGAGCCTGTCAAGGTGACGAACTTGACATCTTGTTGTCTGAGGATGGTCTCCAAGATGTCAAGCACTTGTGTGAACTGGAGAAGAAATCAGAAACAGTAGGTGATAGTTCGCTCAGCGAAATCATACCTGAGAAAAGACAAGGATCCGACGACTTTGGGCTATATACTGCCTGATGAGCTTCAGTAACACCGTGATCTTGCCAGCGTCGAGGTAGCATTTATCATCTTGCACAAACTTCTGCAGAGACTGGGAGGGTGTCAGATAAAATATCGATGACTGCGATCCAAGCTCACCTTGTATCCTTTGCAGAATAGTTGCAGTTCGGCGTCCGTCATCACCTCGAGGTCCTCCCTCACGTATTGGGACACGGCTTTCCGTTTCTTGTAATCGGGCTCCTTCATCAAGAGCCTTGTCATACTAGCCAACGTATCGTCGGTGAACAGCTTCCGGAAGAGCATCGGATGCAAGGCTGCTTTACGCAGATCCATGAGCACGTTCGAACTGTTCTCGATGTACATTTTGTCCTTGGTACGCGCCGTGGCCTTCGTTTTCTTCTTGGATGGTTTGCCGTTCCGGCTCACTGACTCAGGCTCCGCCTGATTCTCGTCATTCTCGGCAGCGTCGAAGATAGTCTTGCGGGATCGTTGGAGCGTCTCGCGATATATCGACTTCTGGATGGCGCTCATATCACACCACTCGATGCGCTCCACCTTCTTAGGCAAATCCTTGAGGACCTGTTGGGTTTGTCAGTGATGTGAATTGCTCAAAGCAGAAGACCAACTTACTTGGTCTTTTCGCCTTCGTAGCACGAACGGAGTCATCATTTTCTTTGCACGAGAAACACGTTCCTGGGCGAGCAAAGAGACCTTCGAGTCGCCCTTCACCTTGAAGATAGCCCGGAGTGAGCCCAAAGCCTCAGCGAAATGTTCGGGTAGGATGAAATTCATCAGCGACTAGCGACTACGTTCAGTATGCCATGTGCCCATAAACTATAGTGAACATACCACAAGCTCTTGTAGGTTGTTCTGCAACGGTGTCCCCGTGAGTAACAGCCGCCACTTCGATTCGTACTTCAGGAGCGCCTGATAGCGCTGTGATTGAAAGTTCTTGAGGACATGTCCTTCGTCGAAGACGCAGCTCTTCACCAAGGTCAGCTCGGGCAGCGAACGAAGACGGACCACACGTACATCCCACTCAATCCTCTTGAAGAATTTTCGATCCTTATCATCACCTTGGGCGAGATTGTATGTCGTGATCAGTACCTCCCAGCCATTCTCTACACCTTTGCACGCTTGTGTTTCTTTTAACGTTTCCCGAAGCATCGGTCTTTCGTCTTTGCCAGCGTAGTATGTCTGAATAACCATGTCTGGAGCGAATCGCGCAAATTCTCGGCACCAGTTTTCGAGGGTGGAGGAGCTGTTCATACGAAATCAGATGGCATAAGGCGATGATGTAGCGAGGCGACCCACGGAACAACAACCAAGTGCGGCCCTTTGTTACCACGTTCCTTGAGGTGAGCAAAGAAGCTTATGACTTGAATGGTCTTGCCCAAACCTATGATGACAGATATCAGGACGCATGCTACAGACGGTGTGGGATCGAGGAACTGACCCATCTCGTCCGCTAGAATACAGCTCAACCCTTTGCGATATAGGAGTCTGCAGTCCGACGTTCAGCAGCGAAACTTGTGTGGGCTGGCAGTTACTAACCGCAGCCAGTTCAAGCCTGCTAATTGGTAGTCCTTGAGCTGCACATCATTCGCGATGAGCGTAGGCTGCGACGATAGATAATCGCTGGATGCTTTAGCAGAGATGTTGACTATATGCAAGGCCCCGTCGTCCGCATCGTTCAACGGGGAGACTATAGAAGTCTCCTGCGAAGATGTGCCATCCCTTTCCTTGCCCTTAGTGGACGGTCGGGGGTGGCTCCAAGAGGCTATTGCCGCGCGTAGCTGCGCTCCAATCTTTTCGCAGTCGCGGAGGATATCGTCGACGGCTCGGTATCCCTCAAAGATGGCGGTACAGTCTTCGAACATTCGTGAGCTGATTCCGGCAGGCCCAGCCTTTTTCTTCCCTTGACCAAGTTTCTCCTTAAGATCATCGACGGAGGTGAAAGGTCGTAGCTCGATGATCTTTGCGGCCTGCTCCATTGTGCATCCTGGAATAGAGCTCTCACCTGGGTTCTTCGAGGATATCAAATCTTGAAACTCACCAGTGAGTTCTTGTATGGCGTCGGTAGCAGCAGTGTTCAGATACGCGAACACGCGATCCTCGTTGGAACCGCCGACGGGAGGCGAAGTCCGGATGTCCTCTGCGTCGCTCGCCTCCGCTTCTGACTCGGATTCAACGACGACCTTCCTGGTCTTCTTCATCAGGCGAGAGCGGGCAACGATAGGACTCGGCGGTGAAGGTTCACGTCGGACTGTGGGCTTGACGGGAGACGGCGTTGAACTAGTGGCAATGGGTTTCGCCGGGCCAGTGACGGGCCTGTTGCGATAGATCAATGAATTCTTCCCCTTCTCCTTGATCGCCTCCCTCTGCGCTTTCGTCGCCTCATCGACCTCTTTGACACGGCCGGTGACGCTGGGCGACGTCTTCGTAGGGCTGGCGACTTTGGGAGTCCAGGTACTATCTATGATTAGAGCCGTAGCTCCCTTCGCGTCTCCCTTCGTTTCATCCCACGCAGCTCGCAGGCGGTCGGGCTCTTGGTCGACGAACGTGAGCCTGAAACGGTTGAAACGCGTCTCGTCATCCGTCTCCGAGGTAGATGCCTGTGATGGACGCGGAGGGGAAGGGCGTTGGCCTCGGAAAATCCTCCGCGAAGACGCGTCGTCACCACTGGCGGGCGCGCTTGTTAATTCTTCGCCGGAGCCAGAAGGTACCCGCATGGGGACAGGCGCGGACCCGGATGCGACGCGTCCGGTGTCTCCTAGTCGTCGAGGAGGGGAGTCTTGAACGTTGAAGAGGTCCAGGGAGTCATGGGATGTAGGCTTCTGCGCACCGTAATTGGGTCGCTTGCGAGGAGGCCCGTCGTCCTGATGCCCGTTCACCTCCGATATCCCTCGGCTGTTTCCGCCCCAGTATGGAGAAGACGACACGTAACGATCGTGTTGTTGCGCCGTGAATCCACTCGGTTGCATCAAGGGGTCGTTGAAACGGTTGGGTCTGGCTCCCATGTTCCACGGACTCGGAGGCGCGCCGTTCGGCACTGTCGACGGCGTGGGCATCCTAGCATGGGCGTTGTAGTGCTGATATGGGCGATAGCGGTTATCCGGGCCCAGTGGGCTAGAGTTCGGCACGAGGACATTGCCGGTGGGGTGTGGAGGAGAGTTGTGGTACGGCGATGGCAGTGGCATGCTGCCGCTGGCGTCGCGCGACTGCTGCGGTGGGGCATAGAACCTTTGCGCGTTATTCCATGCGTTGTGCTCGACGTGGTGCGTCTGGTTGTGTTCTTCAGGGTGATGCTGAAAAGCAGGAGGTGATTTATTGAAATGGAGACCGCTCAATGCCGCGGTCTGCGAGCGATCAAAACTGTGCTCAGCGACGACCGACTCGACGATGACGCCAGCTCAATAACTGACCCGATTCGCTGCGACGTCGTGCGGAACAGACATGGCTTTACTTCGTATTATGTGACACCGCAGGGATAAGGCGGGTCAGATAAGTGTGAGGTGGGCAACGGCGTCGAGGGAAGAGCAAGAGCCACGTCGGAATCTCAAATCAGTGCCACCGCACGAGACAAAGGAGAGCGTAATGTAATATAGCATTGCACATGAGATACATACACGCAAATACAACGTAATGTAACGGGGGAGGGAACAACAACATCATACAACCTGCAACACCACCTATGCGCCTGGCATCAACCACAGGAGATGCGGCGAACGAGAAAGCGAAGCACAGCGGGATAGACACGACGGCGAAAAGGCCAGAACCGACCAGAGACAGGTGAACTCGGTGGACCCCACGTAGAGCTCGGATAGGTCTGGGCTACGTGGACAACTAGATCCCAGGAGTCGAGAAGACTATCCCAAGCCTGAGATACGACCAGCTGAAGGTACCTTGGGCACGTTTTGCACTTCGTAAAACAACGGCGATGTAGAGGCAGCGACGAATCTTGGTGACGTATCGAGGGTCCGGACTGGATACGGCTGTTCATTGCATAAACGCAACGAGGGATAGCGGCGCCGCAGGGAGGTGACGAAGCAGTCATACGTTCGCAACTAGACTGAACAGACCAGGTAGAAAGCGAACACGTTGAGGATGGAGAAGAAAAAAGCGCGCCCTGGGTTGGTTTCTTCGTGGTTGCATGGATAATGGTGATTCAGGGCATCATGGGGCATCATGGCGACTGCTGAGATATGACCAACATTTCCGGTCCCACGAGAGTGCGTGCAAACAATAATATCAGCTTGGACGCGGTTAAACTCCAAAGCGACGAACAAGAAGAGGACGCCGCCGGTACGATATTCCCAAGATAACGCGGAAGGGACGGAAGAAATCACGGATGCAATGCAGCGCACCAGACATCCAAGCCCTCTTCAAATCGGCGCGCGACGCAACGTCAATAGCCTATAGATGCCTGGCATTACTTGAACAAATCAAGGGAAGCCTTGGAATGCGATCGCCATCGACCCTTTGATGGCAACGGACGCTTGATGCCGCTTTCAAAGAGAGTATACCTTACCGACGAAGATACATGGCCACATGTGACCAATGAGGCAAATCTACGTGGATTGTGCACTATTTTCAGTACATGAGACGGAAAACTCGGTGAAAATCAACGTACTCGGCCTGAGGGAAGTACCAGGGTCAGCTGTGATCATGCGTTCGAGACCAGGTATTGAACATCTCCACGCAAACCCGGCACCCGTGGGTGTAAAAATTGACACAGCAGCCTCCTGCGTCAATTTTCGGATTTGCTACGTGGCATCCTCAGGTCGCTTATTGGAGGCTGAATGAAGCGGTTTCCGTCAACAACTGGCCTGTCCATGGGAAAGCACGTCGTGAACGTACTCTATCAGCATATCGCGTCCGATCGCATGTTTGATCAGCGCTAGCGGTAATTGACGAGCGCTGTTGCGCAACAACAACAATGCCCTGAGTGAACAGCAGCCGTTCACCCTGGCAGACAAAAGAAACTAAGGACTCGAATGCAACATGATTCGTGGCAGAGAATGAGCCGAAAGGCTCGGCCATGCATTAGGAGGGGGAGGGGGTGCGGTGTCGTGGTGATGGTGATGGTGGAAGGAAAGAGACGTTGGGTTTGGGTTTGAAGTCACGGGTGAATGATCACGTCACCCACGCCGCCCGGCGCAGCCCAAGCCGGACGCGGAATGCCCGGCGCTCGCTCACTAGCGCTGCACTGCGCAGTATCGACAGCACCCTACCTGTCTTCCTACCACGATGTTTGGCTTGGATTTCATTGCGCTTCTAATCCTTCTGCTCTCACTGGCGATCGTCCTTGTTGTGACGGTCCCCTTGACCGGAGCGCTTGTCAGGTGCGACCGCAATGTCGCCGTTTTCCAGGGGCAATCGTGCTGACTACCGCTGCCAGGCTCCGAGCGAACTTCAACCCAAAAGGTTTGCACTTGTTCACCTTTCATTTGTTCACGAGTAATTGAACGAAAACGAAGGATTGCAACTCGACCATGAAGGCAGCGTTCAACCGCATACAGGTCCGTAATGACCTTCGGGCTTTTGTGCTTGAACACGCCTTAACGTCAACATCTAGGCCCTATCGTCACGTCCTACTTTGGAATGCTCAAGCGAGTGTACAAGATCGAGGTGTGTGCAAACGATTTTGATGATTGCACAGCATGGCTCATTCGAGCAGGGAGTTTCGGGATTGTACAAGGGGTTTAGTGAGTTTTTGAGTCCATCTCTACAAGCATCGTGCTTACCTCGTCGCAGTGCCCACGCTCTTGTCTACGGTTCTCATCACGTTGTTCGTGATCGTGTTCTTCGTGAGTGCCCCGTCCAATGACCGTCATAACGATCGTTCATGCAAGCAACTAGGATGCCACCACCATCGCTAGGCATGACGCGTACAGTGCACCGCCAACTGGCGTGCTTGGGACGTTGGCGTTCGCGACCATGTACATGCTCGTATCCCTGCCAGCAACGATAATAACTTATCGGTATGACTACTCTTCAATGTCTTTCGTTCTTTGAATAATAGCTGGCCAATAGTGCGATCACAACACCGCACAAGCTTCCATGGGTCAATCCTATGGTGTCGCTCAGGGTTCTACTCACGCCTACTGAACGGCGCCGCCCGTACAGTCTGTATTGTTTTTCATGATATGCATATCGCTGCTAACCGATTTCGCAGTCCTCTATCTCACCCCCGGACTGATCGCGGCACAGCTTGCACACATCGCATACGTGACTATGTAAGTCACTTCACAAACACGTCTTGCGACAGTCTCTGACCAAGCATTCAGAGTACTTCAAGGATCTCGTCGCTTGCTCTTGCCGCAGCTACAATCCGGGGAGGCTTTCCCAACGGAAGACGTTTCGGCATGGCGAATCGTACTCTTCGTATTCATGGCGGCTCTCAGCACCGCGGCCCTTTGCCCCCTCGAGGTCATCACGACGAGACTCGCCATCCAGCGTAACCACGCCTCTGCCGAGTACAACTCGGTTGCGCAGGAAGTAGAAGGCGACGCGGAGGAGACCGTCGAGTATGCGGGCGCCGAGGAAGATGTCATCGGGTATGGTTGCTAACCTATCGATCCTTGGCACCCAAAACTCATGATGCATCTTGCCATGCGCAGGTTGAGGAGCGAGCGTGATCCATACCTTGGCCTTGTCGACTGCGCCAAGAGGATCATTGATGAAGAGGGCATCCGTACCTTATATCGCGGCTGGTGGATTACCTTACTTGGAGGTGTTGGCAGACCAGTCGCGTAAGGTACTTGGAGAAGTTCGACCGTATGATCAACCGAGGACTCGCTTTGCATTCGAATTACGAGATCGATTTAATGGGCACTGTATAATATGTTGACTACTCATCGTATATCATGCGACGTGCTAAGCTGGGCTCCAGCTTTTTGATTCGCGCGAATTTACTTCCGCTGCTTCTTCGTGGCCAGCAGGACCAATAGCTTGGCGCGGGACTTGGCGCCTAATTTATCCGAGGTATGTACTCCGTTCGAATAAGCGACCGAGGCTTGAACGCACACATGTACATAATTGAGATTTATATCATCGGGGTCTTGTTTCCGAGCCGCGAGGGCAAGGATCAATACCGCATTGGCGACCGGCCGGCCCCATTACGCTCGTGTGGCCTTTTCTTGGGAGAAGTTGCGGAGTAGATAGCAAGCGCGCGTATGCGTGTGAACAAACATGAGCGCGCATATTCCGCAAACAGCACGCACCTCCCATACGCCTCGCGTACAGAATTGCGTGCTAGGTCGATATCCCACAGCAAATGTACAGCGGTCCGCAATTGACAGATACCAGTGAAAGGTACCCTGATCAAATGGGTTGCGCGGATAATAAAGCCATTGCCTACGCATGAGTCGGGTTATCGTCCTCGTGTATGCATTTCTTTCCGTCTCCGTCGGAAGCCGGCCGTGAAAAGTACCGTGGTCCGCATTAAGATCCTGACTCGCAGACCTAGACCCTCTCGGGCTGACACAGCTGGTAGTTGAATGGTCAGATTGCGTGGGCCAGGCACTGTAACTTGGGCTCTGCCTCAGCTGCGGTCGATCTACTCATTTACCTGCCTCTATAGGAAAGAGGCTCACTAAAATTGCGAAGTCGTTCTCAAAACGTATCGAGGCCACGAGTGATTCTGCGATTGCAAGAGAACCGACGTCTGCATGTCAGGTTTCCATCAATAGGAAGACATCGTTGTACCTGTATGGAGACAGCTGTCTTGTGCCCGATGATTGCCTATCACAGTGGTAGCCGCGTGTATGGGACAACTGGTCCTGCGCGTAAATCGACCGGTCAAGATCACCATGCATCCTGCTGCAAGTCCAGTCCGGATCAGCGGTGAACCAGGCGCTCCGAAATTGATTAGTTTTGTTCAAAGCGATCTGCAGGCAGTCAGGTCACTCACGACGTGCACTTGGGATTTATGCCTTCAATGGAGCTGTAACGCACCGACAACCTTCATCGCCAAGGGTGCAAGCCTTTCGCGGCCTCCGGTGACTTCAATGCCTGGCCTCATCGCCCTGACCTCAAAGCTATTTCTCGACAAAATAGGCTTGATTATGCCACAAGCGTCCGGAGTCGATCATCATAGGTAGACGCCGGCCGTGTTTGCCACAATGAACGCGATGCTGACGACATGATGTGACACGCATATCAAGTAGAACAGAGTTCTTGTATGACCGAAGATACTCACAGCTCATAGGGTCGGCGGATATATATCGCCCCCTCCTCTCACGGTGCCACACCAACGAGGAGCTTCCTTGATGCGGCTCTTGGCAGGGCTCCGTAAGAGTGAAGCCCCGGTCGACGGCTTCTCACTGTTACGGGTGAGGGCGAGAGCCGAGAACAAGTATTCGCCGCACCGCCCAGCCAGCGGCTGTTGTCATATGTAGGAATCACCTGAGCACTCGCAACTTAGCCATACCGCCAAGCCTCTGTATGTCAATGGAAAGGGAAGTACCCATGAGCCATTCGTCGAAGTACGCGGGAGCGAAGACAACGGCGGCAGACTGCACCGGGTGCTTGGCTGGCGTCGATTCGACATCGGCCTCCCTGTTAAGATGATTATGATGTCGCATTAGGTTCCATCTACGATCTCAACCAGAGGAGCAGGTTCGCGGGACAATCGGTGCGAAGTTGCCAAGCACGAGGAACCGTCGGGAGAAGACCGATTAGGACTCCGGTAACGGCCCGGCTCGAGGAACATCGCTGACTAATTTGTCCTGACCATGAACTTGACGCCATGGGTGACCAGCGAATGACCGGTTTCACACGCAACCATAGAGCGCGGAGATCCTGCGAGGAATCTTCACGATGGCAGCTGTTTTTTCTTCTCGGGAAAATGGTGTGGATCATGGAACGGAGCGTGCATCTCTCCGAGCTGTATTGCTGTTATATTTGACTATGTGTAGTGAAGAAGTTGGCTGCGCAGAGTCCAATATCGACTGCGCAAAGTCCAATGCCGTCTTTCCTGGACAAGAGAGCAGGAATCGTCAACGCAGGACTCTACACGGGGACACGAAAGCTGCGACTGCGAGTATCTGAGAGGAAAGGACGCACCCGAGGCTCCGAGGATTAAGCTCGAGAACTGATACCACCAGATCACGACAGAAGTCACGAACATATTGCTCGAACAGTTAACTGCGGAGAGAGACCTGATGGCCCAGTGCTTCCCATTCGATAAGTGAACGGATTGAGGATGAGAACGATGGGCATATACTGACGGATTGTGAGAAGTCAGCTGTGGAAACGTGGGCGAAGTTGGGTTGTGCGATAACCCAGATAATCCCAGGACCGACATGAAAGCCGATTACTCCCCCTGATTGCGATCACACCCACAGGCTAGGATGGTGCCATGTGTCGCTCGCGGATTCGAGCTTAGCTCTCGGGTCGCCGCACAGCCGGATCATAAAGCATGTCAAGGAGACAAACCCCGTCGATACCAGAATCAGTCGATATTGTGTGGGCGCTCGAGGAGTCGAAATGCGGCAACGGTTCCGGAAGGCAAAACGAAACCGGTATTATGTCAGACAATACCATAGAGGTAATATTGTTCAGCGCCGGACATTGGTGGACCCCAGGTCCTTGCACAGGTTCACCACGTCACGATCGGTTGCATGGGTGTGACAACGCTCCCATGCGAAAGCTCGCGCGGCAACTGCTACCGTCCTAGTCTGTCGGTTTCAAGGGATGCCCTGAGCATGGAATCTCCCCCGGTTCCGACCAAGACAATGAACCCTTTCACACTCCAAGTGCGATTGCCTGAATTCAGTCAGGGGAGATAACATTGTATCTCCGCACGAAACGGCGGTTCGTACAGGATGCACCTGTCGAAAGCGGCATCCAGACAGCTAGCTCCCTCACTTGCATCAATGGACGTCCTTCCTCGAAGCAACTCAGAGCCAAGCACGCCAAGACCGTGTAACTATTAGTAGTTCTTCGTTCATATAACACCAGCCCCGCAAGATTGTTCCTCACACTCGTACCGAAATGACTCCCGAAGCTTCGACCACTAAAAAACGTTCTCTCGTTCAGCGGACCACTCCAGCTCCGGACGGCGATCATCGCAAGCGCCCCCGTAATAGAGCAACAAAATCTTGTCTTAATTGCTTCAAGTCGAAGAGGATGGTAGGCTCTGCAGTATACATGATCTGTTGTCGAACAGACCTAATAAAATGCATAGTGCGATAGGAAACGGCCGTGCACCAGATGCACGCAACTAGGGTTGGTAAGTACCGGTGATTTGTTGCTTCAATCAAGATGTTGACCATTTTTACACTAGACCGGCCTCGTGCGTTGTACCTATTGGGCCCAGCATTGCATACTGATATCTGCAACGCAGTGTGTGTATGAGGTGGATGACCCACAACAAAGGTAGATAACCCCAGATTAGTATGTTTGACAAACCGCCGATGCACTTCGCTATAAAGCAGCGATACCCAAGACGAGCAAGCAAGGCTCAAGCGACGAGTCGCGGAGCTGGAAGGCGTGATCAGGGAGGTCAGCAAGGTTCATCTCATCTTCGCTCGTTTCCACTCACGCCCCACTCCTTAGCTGAAAAACAAACCTCATCCACGCTGGGTGCTTCCTACCTTGAACGGCGATACATCAGCGAACCAGTTATGGCGTCCCCGCTCGCAGAGTGCGCCAACGCGCAAGGGACAGGGGATGTCGAGCACCGCTGCCGCTCCACTCAATCAAACCTCGCCCTGCTCCTCTACGTCTTCGCTATCCCCTCCAATCTTGGCCGTTGACATCGCCAACGGTGGCTCATATTTTCCGCCGTTCAGTCTCCCATCTCCCGTCAGCGGTACCCCGTCGCCCTCTGCGCGCACTCCGATACAGGACTTCCCGCCAGACATGAACCATGGTGACGCGGCCGCTCACTTTGGGCTCGACCAAGACTTGGCGTCCCTCTTGGCGGTATCATGCCAAGGCTTGGTTGATGTGCACGAAGGCATACTCGAGTCCATGCCAGATCATTTCGCGGAAGGATCAAGCCCGATGAATGCCGGGCATACTCCGAGCGATATCGCTTTTCATGAGCTCTGTGACACTCAGACCGCCATGCAAGCTCATTGCGCGTGTTTGACAGAGCCGACGAACTACCACGCGCTGTTGGAACTTTCCTTGCGTCTGCGTCGGGCTGCTGACATTCTGTCGCGCTCCTCACATCACTGCTCCGGATCTTACTGCCATTTACTCCAGCGTATCGCGGAGCTTGATCTCCTCACGACGTATGTTCTCCTTCTCCGCCCTCGGTAATTGTCGTGCTGACAAATCTGTAGAAATACCCTCGGGAATATACTCACACCGCCGGACATCGCATCGACATTATCTTCACGCGGGGTACCTGCCAGTCCGAACCATCTCTCTCCTCGTATTATGCATGCGTCCAAGCGAGGAGAGCATTCGGTCAATCATTCACCCGGACTGGGCACTGTATCTCCCCGTTCCTTGCACTCGATGCCTCAGTGGGGTCCAATGGGCTCTGGAATACCGACCCCGACTGGCGGGGGGGACGCCTTCATGTCTTGGGACCCACGAACTCATCCTCAATCCGCGGTACCCCATCATGGCTGACGCATGCATGCGCTCTGGTCCGCACATCCGATCCTGTCTAAGATACCGAGCTTGGATAATGGACTGGCAGATGATGGTCCATCATGTATGATTGTATCACTATGTTGTAGACTTGTGCGTGCTTGATGATTTGGAAGATAAATTATAGCCTTGGTCGTCTTGGATAGCAGTCTGGAATCTATTGGACATTGCGCGTTACATCTTCGAAGGATCGTGGATTGAGCGTCAGAGCGAAGGATTCGCGGCGAGCTAGAACGGCTATCGGCTACTCTATTCTCTCTCCTGTTATCCAACACGAAACAAGATGGGTAGTCCACCTGCGACATTTCAGGCAGAAATACGCCGTGGTCGGAGACGAAGGATGCCTGATGGCCATATGGATCATAATGCCGAAGCTTTTTAGTCACATCTTCGTCGGAAATAACGTCACGCATCTTAGAGAAAGTCGGCATAGTAAGCGACAGCCCGCCACGTCCTCACCGGAGATCGGGCCATCGGGGCTTCACAAGTTCGCAAACACCGGAGAGACGTGGGTGTCATTCTTTGACACTATCACGACCGCGAGGCAGGATGAGCCTCGTAAACGAGCTCTACAATCCATCCCCAACTTGAAGTTGCGGGATAGGGCTGCGGTAGACCGGATTTCAGAGAAGATCGGGTGTATGCACTGGGATCACTAGGGTCCCTAGCGGAGTCTGCACAAGACCTTTCGCATAGCATGGGTTTATCGGAGTGGGATTCCTTGAACAGGTTTGCGAACGCCATAGCCCAGGCATGTTTGCCACCCGTTTTCCGGCAGTAGCCGCGTATTCAAGACGTGTCATGGTGCAGAATACCTGAGAACATCGGGCCACAACAAGTCTCAAAGACGATCAACATCTTGGCTCGAAAGCCATCATCCAATTACATACCTTCGGAGGTCCAGAGATTAGTTTCTGGGCAGGCCCATCTGCTAAGAATGAAGAAAGTCTGGACTACTCAGCTATTCTTGACGCTCTTGATGCTTGCGGGCGTGTTCTGTGTAAAGCTACTCCGTATCGTATCAGAGGATAGCTAGCGCACGAGGACCTTCGAAATATCCAATCGTTGGGCATTGTCCTGTATTGGGCGGAATACTCGGGTTGGAGGTCGTGCCCAGAACTCCGGTCCAGGCTCAGCAATCCAGAGAGCAGTAAATGTTACGAGAAGATATGAGAAATAGCACCAGTTTCGATTTCGGATTTTGGTCTGCTACGGCAAGTTCGAAAATTGACTGGAACGATCCGGAAAACTTTTTGCTCATCGCTGATAACCTTCAACAAGACCAACAGCGAGCTCGACTGAATGAGTCCGCTGCTTTGTCATCGCGTCAATTACGTAATACACTTGGGCGCCTCTACCAACGCCTTTTCCGACCGGGCATCCTTCGACACGCTCGACATTCGTACTTCACCACTTATTTCGAGACCATCATGGCATCACATCTGGTACGTATGATTCGCGGCAAATATTGTGATCTTGCTCATTGCGCCATGCCAGGCTAACATCTTCGGCACGGAACAAGACCGCGTTAACTGTTCGTTTTACTACAAGGTTTGTCACCGTCATGCATCACCCCACAGGGATGAGCTAACGAAATCTGGAAGATTGGAGCATGCAGACACGGCGACCGCTGTTCCAGGAAGCATATCAAGCCGTCGTTCTCCCAGACTATCCTGCTCCCGAATGTGTACCATAACCCCGCCCACGACCCCGTCTGCCAGCTCACCGAGCAGCAGCTGCAAGAGGGCTTCGATGCCGTGTACGAAGACCTGTACTGCGAACTGTCAAAATTTGGACATCTGTTGGAGCTCCATGTGCGTTAATTTGTTCTGGCTGTTCATATCCTCGGAGCGGAGCTGATCGCTTGTGTCCATACCCAGGTATGTGACAATGTCGGGGATCACCTCATTGGGAACGTTTACGCACGATATGAATGGGAGACGGAGGCGCAAGCTGCCGTGGACAACCTGAACAATCGCTGGTACGCAGGTACGTATTGTGCTTTGCTTCGACGCTCTCTCTCAGGTCTCACCCTGTTCGCACTCTGACTCCTCTGATGTCCCACAGGGCGTCCACTTTATGCCGAATTGTCACCCGTTACCGACTTTCGCGAAGCATGCTGCCGTCAGAATGAGAACGGGGAATGCAACCGTGGTGGATTCTGCAACTTTATGCATCTCAGGCTAGCGTCGAAGGAGCTCGTGAAGTCACTGAAACACGGGCAGCGCTTGGAGCGGCGTCTCAATCCTGCCACGGCCGGTCAAGCTACAGAAGGATGGGTCCCGAGCAAAAGACGGAGCGCGAGCCCTCCTTCTCGACGAGGCGGAAAAGACGGGGAGGACCGGTGGACCAGAAAGACGGAAGGCGAGGATAGGTGGACCAGGAAGGCGGTTTAGGGTGACAGTCTTGGAGCTTGCTTTACGGTACATCGCGGCTACGCTGATCCCTTTGTATGCCTATCGTCAGCCGAAGATTTTATCTGACAACTGTCCTGCACGTCTCAGACGTTGACCAGAAGTGAATCCGCATGCCGCAGGCATCTCAACAGCCATCGACTGAAGGGATGGAGAATGCCGCGCATCGAAGTAAGAGGCGGGTGCTCGCCAAGCCCATCCCACGCGACAGAACCAGACCCGGCCCACCGCCGGCATTTGTGAAGACCGCCGCGATTGGCCGGGGAGCAAAAGCACGCGACGACGCTCCTGCGTTACAGCCGTATGAAACACGATAATTAATATCCGGATTTCCGACGGACAACAGTTCGGCATTAACGTCGGAATACCCGTAGAATCGCATGTCGGTGCTCTTGACACTATGTGATCGAATATACCGATGGTCATTTATTACACGAGCCATCCACGATACAGCCCTCTCCCACCGTCCTGCAGAAGCTCCGGCCATTGAACGATGAAGCTAAATTACGCATATGACAGTTAGAGCAAGCTCCAAGGGGAAGAAGTAACGGCATGTACTCCCAGGTCAACGAAAGGTCTCAGTAGCCTTCCGGATAACGACAGGGTCCTAACCCGAGCGAAGGATTCGACATAAATGAGCCGAGGAGAGCGGATCCCGAAGAACTGTCGTCGTGGCGTCAAAGTTTATCTAAGGTTTCCAAGCCAAGACGGTCTCGCCGAGGGTGTACTGACGCGGTTCAGATATGTCGCGATGCAGAGCACCACGCAGGTGCCTGGACCATTGAGCAGCAAAACCTCCGGGAACGCTCCATCGATCCCACTTCGGCCCGGTTGGAGCATGAGGCTCCAGCTGGACAGGAGGGAAACAAGGGCCGTCGGGGGCGTTGTGACGAATGGTTGATGCACCCGCCGTGCGCGTGGGATGGTGATGATTCGATAGGGAGCCTGTTTCCCCTGAATGGAAGGCGGTGTTGCATGAGGCATCCAACGAACAGGTAAGGCACATACAGGTACTGCGCTCCCGCCGTCGGACATTGTCGATGCCTTCCGTGCCTCCAAGCTTTTGGCTTTGTTGGTACTTAAGGCATCGCCTTCGCTTACTATATAGATCCTCGGACAGTAGCGATTGAAATCCAGGGTAGAGACGAGCGTGAGTGCTTCGCTGGTATGGCCACCTAGAACCGGTAGTTGACATATATCAGGCCTTGGCGCAAATGTTTGGCTTACCAGAACCGAGAAATACAGCAAGGCTACATGCGTGTTGACGAGAGCCTGCTTGCAGCGATTTCTTCTCGCGAGGCAAGATGCAGAGTATTCTCAGTAGCGCGGCGAATGATAGTAGCACAACAACACCCAGGGCTGAGAACATGTCACGGAACGCTACAGGCCGATAGTCGGCCCGAAGTCAAGCGCACGATATAAGCGATTGTTCAGCTATGGCAACAGGCACACAGTGCAGTAAACCAGAGCAGAGCATGCGAGCAGTGTTCTGCAGCTACGATGATGGCCACTGTGCGGCCGTGGCAAAGTACGCAAGAACGTCACGCGCGGGGTTCGCGTCGAACGCGACGCGTTCCGCTCAACGTCCCGTTCATTATCGAACACCGCTACGGGTTTTCTACACTTCAGCCATTGACCACACTGTTGGTCTTCGAAGGGCGACATTATGGCCGGAGTGAGCCTGCAGCCGGATCGGGAGATGGCCGCGAACATTCGAAGGGCCGTCAAGGACTGTCGGGATCGCGGCCTCCTCTATGCCTCCAAGTGGTGAGCAAACGACTGGTTAGCCAGGCTCAAAAGGATATTCGAACGCATTCAAGGGCATCAGAGCTTTACTTGGCACTCCCCAGCCACTTAAGACAGCCGCAAGCGACGGATCAGCCCATCCACAATGGTTTCAACACCTCGACGCCGGCACGCCCGCGTTCGCCTCCGATGAACATATCGTTCGACCTTCAGGGATCCCCATCAACAACCACGACCATTGAGGGCGGTACTAGCAGCCATCCTATGGCCCCGAACTCGCACCCATGGCTAGGAGATAACGTCCTCGATATACAGGATGAAGATAAAGTCGACGTGGCGCGAGCGTGTATGGAGGCCAAGGAGTTTCAGAGAGCCGCTTTCATGCTGACAGGGTGTGTCGGACCCAAGGCTGCTTTTCTCGCTCACTATTCTCAGTACCTGGTAGGTGAATCCATGCCTTTCACAATGTATCGTGCGTGACTTGGATGAAGGCGGCAGAAAAGAAAGCATTGAACGATTGGCACGCATTAGACGGTGACTTATAACATGGTATACGCATACGTCTAAAACTTACCAAACTACGTCAGGCAAGCGAGGACAACCCGTTGCCCCCATCAATAAGGGCCTCCAGAGCTTGTGTGATAAGGTTGTGCTTACGGGCGACCCATGGATCTTGTTTCTGTGAGTACTTGGGCAGTTGCATCCACCTCTGCCCCTCTGAAAGCGAATAGGCGAGCCTTGTTTCTCTACCGATTATCGCGGCGAGAGGAAGCCATCGAAGCAGCTCTGCTGTCTATTGCTGCATACCCCTGGAACTGGTCGACGTGGCTCATACTCAAGGATTGCGTAGAAGATGCCAACGAGGTACGGGAAACTGTTCAGCACCTGAGGAGAGTCTAAGCCGGTTCCTTCGTCTAGCTCGCGGCCCTGATACCGCTGATACCCCTGCCCCCCAACCATCCCCTTGTTCAATTTTTCCAGATCAAGATCATGAATGAGTTGCAAAGTCCAACAGAAGAAGATATTGCCGTTTGTGACGCATTGCTGCAACCCACACATTTCCCTACCAGTTGCTGGGTCAAAGCACTCCGTGCGACTGTGTTATACAATATGCATGGTGAGACAAGTTCAGACTCCTTGTGAATTATATTCGAAGTGATGGTGCCACAGACTTCGCCGCCGCAGAGATGCAGTTCGAGCAAATAATTCAGATGGACCCATTCCGTATCGATGACATGGACATCTACTCGAACATTCTCTACGTACAGGACCATCGGCTGAAGTTATCCAGGGTCGCCCGCGAGTTCTTGAACCTGGATAAGGATCGTCCTGAGACAATGTGTATCGTTGGTAAGTAGCCTGGCAAATTCTGTCTCCTCGTTCTAGCATGTCGCTTCTGCTCCACTATTCGTAATGCTGACATACCTCTCTCGACTGCGGATTCCAGGAAACCACTATTCTCTGCGAGGAGAACACGAGCGGGCTATCAAGTACTTTAAGCGGGCGGTGCTCCTCGACAGGACCTACACTTCGGCTTGGACGCTGATAGGGCACGAGTACGTGGAGATGAAAAATTCGCACGCAGCTATCGAATCCTACCGAAGAGCCGTCGGTGAGCCCATCGATTCTCGCTTCCCGCGTTTCTCTCACGTCGCTGTGACATGTCCAAAGAAACCAACCGAAAGGATTACCGCGCATGGTTCGGACTCGGACAGGCGTACGAGTTACTGAACATGCATCAATACGCTCTTTACTATTTCCATCGGGCCACGGCTCTGCGGTATGTCATTCGTGATGAATTCAGACGCATCCTCGTGATCTGTCATCTATAGGCCCTATGATACCCGCATGTGGCAGGCCCAAGCACAGTGCTATGAAGAACTAGGCCGGTCTGTGACTTGCACCCTGCCGTCCATGTCCTCGCTCACATCTCCGTTAGGACTCGCGAGGCGATCGAATGCTACAAGCGAGCCCTTATTGCCGGCGCGGACCCGAACGATCCTTCCATACACGTGAAAGTCGCAAAATTATTTGACTCGATCGGAGAGTTCACAGAGGCCACGGCACATCATCGACGGGTGGTAGAAGTCGCTCGGGCAACCGGTAAGAGTTATTGATGACTGCGTCGTCCGTACACCACTCATTATCCATCCCAGGAAAACCGATCGCAGAGTACTCTCAGTCTGCCCTTTACGTCGCGCGCCAGCAGGTGCAGCAACTCAATGGGGACCTGGAGCTCGCGAAAGACTACTTGGAGCAGATCGTCCAGAGCAACGTGGAGGAGGTGAAGGATGCCAGCGAATATCTGAAGAAAGTCATGCAGATGATCGCAAGAAATCAAACAGTAGCGCATGGAGTTCCGATTACTACGGTATCATAGCACATGATTGTGATCTCATCTGTTCGCCCTCTGTGCTGTCCTTGATTTTTGCGTCGTCACCGTTCGAAATTAGAGTTTAGTAAGTTAGCGCCCGGCTGCGCGAGCGTCTACGTGACCACGTTTCGCCTTTCTCGCGGTCACGAGCGCGTACGTAGCAAAACAACCACAACGGCTGCAAGTATGTCGAAAGCGCCTGGGCCGTCTGCACCATTCGCTTCACCGTCCGCCCCTTCGACTTTCACTCCGCGAGATGGCACTTGGACGTCTGCGCCCGCATGGGCCCGCGCGGCGGTACCGGAGAAGACCGTCACTCCGATTCAGCCAGCAGCGCCTCCTAATGCACCATCGAATGTGATCAGAAGGCCCGATGCGCCCAGATTGATAAGGCGCACTAGTGAAGAACAGAGGGTCGTTGATCAGATCGGCGCACAGTATGTCGAGACTGCAGTTGCGGAATGGGGGGCCATCGCTAAATCTCAGTTGATCGATCAGGATAGCGCAACGCTTAGCATCTGACCATAACGCATCGCTCAAACCGGACGTGGACACTCCCTTTCGTGACGCGGAAGATGCGGTGGCTCGATTGCTACCGTATCACGTCTGGCAGCACCCTAAAGAGGACTTGAGCGCCTCGTCGTCGCGAAATGCAAAAGGCAAGGGCAAAGCGAGCGAAGTGGATTTACTTCGCCAGGAAATATCCGGTATGAAACGGCTATCTGTTCTGATTTCGCGTCAAAGTTGAAGCACGATGCAGAGACCCGAACAGCGTTGCAATGTATGAAACGCAAGCGAGCACTCGAAGACAGGTTTCGTCGCATCCGAACCAGGGCTGGCAAGGTGATATTCCCTTCAGTTGACCCGAGGCGTCGGTGTGGACGGGCCTGATCCTTTCTTCTGCGTAGACTTCGCCGAAGGACGCGATGTACGTCCTCGAAGCCGGCATGCTGGAGAGTGAACGCGCGGCGCTGCAAGCGCTCAAAAGCGAATTCAGTCAAGCTCGCAACACCCTGAGCCAGCTTGAGAAGGAAGCGCGCGCTCGGAACGCAGCCGCCACCGCGCAGACCCAACGCCCAACTCCGACGATCAACACACAGGTGCCAGGAAGCTTCGTCACAGGGTACCCGGGATATGGTCCAGCTTATGTGTACGCAACGCCTACATCGACCGTCAACCCCGCACAGTTGGCAGCGCCTTCGGCTTCCACCTCCACCACGACGATGTCTACCTCGAACACTCCTGTTGCTTCCACGCCCTCTAGCGCTTACACCCCATCTCGGCCCGCGGGGACGGTTGCACCAGGGTTCATCCCCGTCCAGCTTCCCATTACCTCCCTCCCCTCCCTTACCGCGATCGGGATTCTCCCCGTATCTGCCGCAGCTCTTCCAGCTCCCACTTCGGGACAACCCCAGCCGGCTGCTATCCTACGTGGTCTCACTTCTGAAGGCCGAATGATGAACCTCGAAATCAACGTCGCGATGCTACAGCCTTCGCAGACTCATGGGCTGGCGATGCTTTTAAACAGCATAATGACGAGGAACGGAGTAACGCCCAACGTGACAGGAGGACATGCTGGTCCAACTCCCGTTTCCCAGCCCGTTCCAAAGCCGATATCAGGCACAGCAGCGCCTACCAACAATCCGGCCTCATAGGATATTGGAGTCTTGCAAGTTGATTTCCTCACGGACATGCCACGTTGATAGTTCCCCGTAGATCAGCAATACGATAGTCATACATGATGTGATGTTGATCCCAATAATAGCTACACGATATAGTGCATCATGGGACGACGACAGTTCTGGACCAGTGAAGCTAGTACCTGCGTGCCTTTGGTATACAAAACAGTCAGGCTATGATTGCACGCCCCTAAACCAACCCAGAGCAAACCCATATCACGATCTTCTTGATAGTTTCTGTTACTTCTTCGGTGCTCAAAGGCTGACCGACTGGAGGGACATGCAGGAAAAGGACCTTTGTTGGTCGCGGGCGGTCGGGAGTTTCGGGGTGGTTGGGAGAGTTGGAAGAGGGTGCCACTGCACGCTGGGCTTCGGCGAGAGAACAGTAGTAGATGAAATCACACAGATAGTAGCCAGCGTCCATTGACGAGTAAATTTCCTGTTTTTGCGGAGGTTAGCGTTCGTGTGCAAGTGTGGGAGAGGTGATACCCACATCCATCCCAGATTCCTTGATGTAGTGTATGAGCTTTGGCACGTTGATGTCTGTCTCGAGCTCGGCGGGCATCTTCTCGTACCCAACACCGAACCCGCGGTTTGGCACCTCCGCGACTTTCGCTTCCTTCTCATCTAGGTTGTTCGCAGCCCGATGCCTTTGCGCCATCGCCAGTTCGACCTTCTCCTGATCCGTCAGTTCCGCTTTTGCCACGATGGGTGGCAGCTCGCCGGTGATATCCTTCATCAAGTAGCCTATCTTGTGTCCCCTCCGTTCCACCCGTAGCGGTCCACGACCTGCGACTCCGACGTGCAAGACGAAGTCGTATCCCTTCTCGGGAGCGGGTATCTCGGGAGTCAGTTCGGGCATGTGCTTGAAGGTGGGCGGGCGTGTATGCATGGTAGGTACTTCGTCCAGTACGTGTTGGTATATTACGGGAACCTGATGCGTGGTTATGTGTATTTGACGCGGGTCCCGGTCGATCTCGATCGGAATGGGGTCGGAGGATGGGTCAGAGGGGGGCGCTCGGGGAGGCGCGGGTGCAGGTGGGGGTGGGGGCGGAGGCGCTGGCGCTGGCACAGGGTCGGGAGTCGTGTCCATCTTGTCAGATGGGGGTTCCGGCTTTGCACCAAGTGGAGGCAGCGGGCCTTGTGGGGGCGGAGCGCGCTTGGGTGGCGGCGGTAAGCTTGCCGCGGGCGGCTCAACAGGAACTGGCTCGACAGTAGGGTCGACAACCAGTACCTCATTGTGCAGGTCCTTGACCGCCATCCATGACGGATTCTGTGAGATGTTTGCGAAGGGCTAGTGGCCCCGGACGTCAGCGGGCCGCGCCGACACTCAGACCGGCGACCTGTCTGCTCACCCCAAAGCCGGTGATCAGGACCTTGAAAGCGTCGTCTTCGATCGCTTGGCCATTGTAAGGAACAGGAGTCATAATATACAAGCCCCGAGAACAAGTATTTCAGACCCGACTGCCTTGCAGTGGTGAAGGCTAACCACTGCTGAAGTCAAGGAACGAAAGTTACGAAACTGATCTGACTAGATCGTACGGATCAGATTGAATCACAAAGCTGTGCAGTGGCTGTATACTCACGACATTCCTGCTTCGTCTTGCCGTCCGATGATGAAATCAATCGCAAGCACTCGCAAGATTACATTATTGCTTTGGCATAACTTGACCATAAACCACGACCATCACCCAAACTAGCCTACCAGATACGATGCGAGCCTACTACTTTGACAATGTTCCGGGTGATCAGCGCCTTGCGCATGACTCGGGAAACCCTGTCTCGCTCGAGACGCTCCAGTCTCTTGGTGTCTTACACTGGGCAATCCAGCTCGACGAGGATGGAAACTGGGAGGTGGAAATCAACAACGTGGCGAAGAACAGAGGGTACAAGAACAGAGATACCATCAACGTTACGAAAGAGGGGCTCGGCGATGCCTACGAGAGCAAGATAAAGACGTTCTTCGAGGAGTACGTTCGATGTGGCGCATTTCTAGCCAGCGAGTTGACATCTTAGCAGGCATATGCACGAGGACGAAGAAATTCGGTACATTCTCTCGGGAAGTGGTTTCTTCGATGTCCGCGGTAAGTGCCCTCGTGAAAACTCGGCATTGGATATCGGGGTTCACGATTATCTGCTGTAGAGCATCCACACGACAAATGGATCCGCATTCATGTAACTCCGGGTGATCTTCTCGTCATCCCTCCCGGGATCTACCATCGTTTCACCCTTGACGAGAAAAACGCCATCAAGGCTCTGCGCTTATTCCAGGTAAATACAACATGCATCCCTCCCTCTCAACGAGATTCAACGGCTGATCCGTACTCAGGATGAGCCCAAGTGGACTCCTCACAACCGCAGCGAGGAGACGGACACGAACCCTTACAGGGTTCAATACTTGAAGAGCATCCCCGCGGTCTCAGCGTCGGCTTGAATATTTCACGAGCTTGCTCACCAGACGTTGTTCTTCCACCTGGCTTCACACACTTGCTTCACACTCGGCTGCCATCAGGTAAAATTGGCATATCGCCGCCTCGTATGTTAACATTGGTTGGCCCTATGCTTCTTGTGACTTGATAATGAATGTAACAGTGCTTTTCCTGGTCACAAAATAAACGAAGAACGGAATGTATGCGTTTATGTGCTGCTTTCAACACTCTTTTTGGAGACATGCGTGTAAACCCATCTGAAGGAAGTAATGATGATCTAACAGAACTTGACTAATGCGACCCTTCGACACACTGTTCGTGACTTATTGGCTAGCACCTGAAACTGCGGGAGACGCGGACATTACTGGAGGCCCCACACCGTACGTTATAGACTATGGTCTAGGTGTAAGCAATACTGCATTCGTCCTAACCCAACTTCCTTCGGAGTAGTTCGAGGGCCGTAAATAGCCGTCGTCTTCACGCCGGTGAGTAATGGCAAGGGGGGCACGGACATGTTCACCATCGAAGCTACATCGTGTTTCCTTGTGCACGCAGCCGCATCGGGAGGCTTGCCGCCTTGAACCCTGCGCGTACGCTAAGTCGCCGTCGGACGGCCTCAATGTACAAATTTGGACGAGCTAGGAGACACGAGCGGTCCTGAGTATGTGATCAAGGTCTACGCTCGCTGTGCCATATAGAAGTACGCGATTACCGACGTCTAGCGACCGCGGAGACGGGGCGGTCGGCGACACGGTCCATAGACTGACGTATCATGGTGCATGCAGATATTCTATTGCGAAGGACAAACAGCTGAGTTTGTCCATATATACGAGTGCAAAAGTTGCTGTTCCCGATAGTCTCATCTCAACGCCGGGACGATGACTTGAAGGCAGTTGATGTAGCAAATTGTGCACCATGTGGGCATTGTCCACCTACGCCACCTGAACATTCAAATTTCCCAATGTTAGAAAAGACAGTTGAACATACTCCCAAGATATTATGGTTTGCGGTCGGGGCCGTCATATCTGACGCACATCTCTGAGCAATCCCCGCCACTTCGTCGCGAATAGACGCTCTTCATCTGGAGTGTTTCCGGAGGCGTTTCCGCAATTTCGATTTGCTCAGGGTCGTAGCCGCAAGCCGGCCAAGCCGTTCGTGGGGCCTTGACTTTTGACATAAATTGCTACACTTATAGCGCCACAGATCCTGTGGCTCCATGAGAACTGGCACGCCTGTGGAAGATGAATACCCTTGACTTGCCGCTTGCCGTAAAAGCGGAGAAGGTTGAGAATTCGTTTACAGCATCCCCAAACGACGGAGGTGGCAAATAAACGACATCGCGGCAACCCCAACTTGGGATAGGGTTCATTGTATATCGCCTCAGCATGGTTGTGAGGGTCGAGGCAGAAAGTGGAGTATATATTCGGTGTTTGACCAATGCCGAGGCCGATGTCGTTGTATGAAGACGATGGCTCGGAGCGGGTCAATGATCTCTAGTTGAGAGCGTCGGCGAAGTCGAGTTGAGGTACGGCAGACATCTTGCAGCGACGCCACTAGACGGTTCCGGGGCAATGGCAGGTCTGTGTTCGTGGAGGTGGTTCGTGAGATGCACGATAGTTTGCCTGTGACCACGCGTGACAGCGTAAGAAAGCCTAAACTGGATGACCTGGGGAGATGCAGAATAGCGGATGTGCAAGGGGTCTTCGAGGTCCAGATACGTCCAACATACACTGCCCCGGGCTGTGACTTTGTCCAAGCTCGGAAACGGCCCGAAGGGTTCCAATACACACGCACACTTGGCGGAACCACTGGACATGGTAGGAGTCGGGAAGTTTTTGTGACACTCCGATGGACAGGGAGCCAGGACGGGGCCTCCAGGGCTTTCGATACACCACGGGGCGATTTCAGATGCCTAGCCGCTCTTGCAATCCGCAGAATGTGCAACTCAGGGCAATGCCGAGCAGGAGAGGTATCGGTTTACTCATTCACGAGTCGTTTCCGGGGATCCCGGTGAGCAAGGTGCGGCCGACCCATACATGTTCCGATTCCTGGAAGGACTTACGTAGCTATAGCGCCGGGAGGGTTGACAAAGCTGGACAGAAATGAATGCGGCCCCGAGTTAATTTCATATGAGACTCATGATTGAACTTGATACATCCGGGGCGCGACGTTTCTTGTGTACAGTTAAGGCGATCAGCGGGCTTTGCTACGCACGGACCATAACGATGGCGACACCACAAGAGAATTTGGGGAGAGGAAAATTGGCCATTGGACACCGCTTGTCACGACCGACCCGGTCCAAAGGTACCAGGCAACCGAGTAACCCGCAAGGAAGGAAGACTATGGGCTTGTTCGCACACTCCTGGTAAGGATATGAGAGCGCTGAAGTGATAGATTCCGCAATATATCAACGGACCTTCGTTCGTTCGCGCCTGACGCAGTACAGAGATCCTTGTGGCTTTCCGGTGCTTCTGATCACCGCCCCAGAATGGTATAACACTGGCGCAAAATACCTTTTGGTCGCCGGGGTTCTTCAGGCTCCGAGCGGAAATGAACGTCTAGTATAGACGTCAACACTTGCTTAAGCAATGCCAATGGGTCAGTGGGACACAAGGATGCGGCTCGGAGAACGATGCGTACGTCCGGAAGTACGTTACGCAGCCTCACAGACTGCGTACGCAAAGCTAGGGTCGCAAGGATATTCGCGCAGGAGTTACGTCAGATGGGATGTTCGGGGTGGAGCTAAACCCATTATGTTGACCTGGATCGCGCTCCTGCGACTCATCGGTGAGGTTCCTACCAAAAGCAGAGAGTGTGTGTATAGGAAGCCAGAAACAAGAATCGAATAGTGTTCCCAGATACTCACCAATATTGTCCGGAGCTACAACCCATGAACGGCATTCTCACCGGAGGTGCCTATCCAACGAGGAGCGTGTGCATCAAGAGACGTCGACTCTCGATCACAGAGAGAACTGCTAGTGAAGCGTAGCTTTGGTAGAGGACGAAAGTCAAATTAAGCCCGGGGTATATGTCCAATCCATTCTTTTCCATGATCCGAGTGATGTATCGTAGCATACATGATGCATGACGGGTCTCATGGAGGCTCTCGCCAGGTTACGTGTGTTGGTGAACACAAATATTTGACGAATTTGATTTGTCGCGGCAGGTGGCGTGAACTTGAGACTCTGATTCTGTCCGCTTGGCACTGCGGCGGCTACCAAGCCTCTTACTCGTACTTCGTTCAGAACTGTCCTCACAGGTCGTAGACGACCTTGTTGCTCGCTCTCTGTATTGTGCCGTGCATGTTCGTCAACCGATCAGCGCCTCCAACGGTCCTCGACGGCCTTCGGTCAACTCGCATCGAACAACATTCGAACCGCTTACCCAAGTCAGATTCGAGGCTTCTCCGTTGAGCGGCATGGCACAGCAGCAGTCGGTTCACCAGCTCTACCGACGTCTCGAGACGATCGGGAGGGGCGCCTATGGCTCCGTTCACAAAGGGGTCCACATACCATCTGGGAACGTGGTCGCCCTCAAGATCATCAACTTCGACGACGAGGGTGGAGGGGATGATGTAGCCGACATTCAGCGGGAGGTGAGTCGCCCAGCCTCGGACCGGAATAGTCACCAAAATGTCCACAAGGTTGCCCTCCTTGCGCAACTACGGGATGCACCCAACATCACGAAGTACTATGGCTGCCACCTGGACGGTCCACGCTTATGGATCGCGATGGAGTACGCTCAAGGTGGTTCGGTACGCACTTTGATGAAGGCCTGCCGGGACGGCATTCTCGAAGAGAAATTCATCGTCATCATTGTGCGCGAGGTCCTCATCGCGCTCAGCTATCTCCACAAGGCGGGCGTCATCCATCGTGATATCAAGTGCGCGAACATCCTGATTACAGACCGTGGAAACGTCATGATATGCGATTTCGGTGTTTCTGTGTTTTCCACCGGCGGGAACAAGCGACACACGCTCATTGGCACTCCGATGTGGATGGCGCCCGAGGTTGCGCTGGGGAGTCAGGTTGTCCCCACGTACGATCACAAGGTTGACATCTGGAGCTTGGGAATCACGATTTACGAGATGGTGAAGGGCATGCCTCCTCATGCGCATGTGATGGACGGCTTCAAGGTCATGAATCTGATTCAGAAAACAAAGCCACCGCGCCTCAACGAGGAAGACGGTAGTAAAGATATGCGGGACTTCGTGTCACACTGCCTGCGAGAACAGGCGACTGACGTACGTTTTGGCTCGTTGCTCGATTTGGAATGATGCTCACGTCCACACCTAGCGTTTATCGGCCGACGAATTATTGAAGACGAAGTGGATCAAATCCGCAGCGAGGACAAATGTATCTATTCTCAAGGAGCTGATCATGCGCTACGATGCTTGGAAGCAGACTGGGGGAACCAGAGCAAGTATAGCGGATCCGCTCGCCTGGGAAGAAGCAGAGGAGAACGAGTAAGTGCACGCGTTTTTGGTGTCCATCGATAATCCATTGAACTCCGCAGCCTACGCGGTGTCCCGCAGGAAGAAAACGATCCATGGACCTTTGATACCATTCGCAGCCGGTCTTCAGCCAGCTTCAACAGTCGAGAGAATTTGATATTGCCCAACGATCAGTCGGAGGATGCCCCATTCTCATCTATCCCCACCCTGAGACCGGCACAGCCCGCTCGGTTACCATCCTCGCTCCGGCGATTATTCGAGGACGACTCGGCTTCGTCGCCGGACCCGTTTCGCATACCACCAAATCGTCCCTTTGCGGCGGACCAGAGAGATAACTCCTCAACACCTTCGCCCACACTTCCTCCGTCTATCGTGCCTTCCCGGGATCGCGCCGCCGCCAGGAGGGCACTTGCTTCGGATAACAACGAGGACGATGGCGATACCGCCAAGCCGCTTAATTGGGCATTTCCCCCTCGTGCTCCCACAGCACGGAAACAGTCCCAACTGACCTCCAGCGTTCCAGGCTCTGATGACGACTCGGCGACAGAGACTGTCCCTCGGTTAGGTCCCGGCATACCCTCCCGGTCACCATCTGCTACATCACTGACAGCTCCCAGCGCGTCCGACCCAGGGTTGGATGCTATCACCGTGCGCCGGAACGGCAACCTTCGCGACAATCGTTCGACGCGGAACATTCCTAACCTGGAGATACCTCTGGCCGTTTCCTCAGCTCCGCGGGTCGAACTCCCTGGCACCCCAGTCTCACCTCTTGTCATACACCAATCAGCATCCATGGAATCTCTACCCCTCGGGCCTTCGGCGCGCCCGCTGGTCACTCGAAAGCGGTCGAAAAGCAGCGCGCCCGGGCTGGCCTCCCCGACCCCCCGGGAATCGTCCTCTACGACGGCCCAACGGACCCCGCCAGCTTTTCAGTTCCCTCCACCTTCTGGTCCGGGCGGGCCAAGCAGCGCCTCTCGCGCTGATGCTCCTACTCATACACCCTCGGCCAGCTCGTCTAGCATCTCATCAGCTCTAAACTCTCCAGCACTCCTCCAGCTCAAGCCATCTCCAGAACCGTCTCCTTCAGGAGTTACGCGGCGGCAGCCTCCGCTACCAGGCGCTCTTCCGTTACCCGCGTCTTTATCGCGCTCGAGGTCAGCGCAGGCCAACCCTAATAACAGCTCACCTAGTCCTTCTATTCTCCCGTCTCCAGCAGGACTAAGGGCGCCCATATCTCGCAAGCCAAGTTTGGTTAGGTCTACGTCCGCTTCGGCGATGGTCGTTCCTACTACGCCGCAACCCACCCCGTCACCGCTCAAGCCGTTTGCCTTGGTTCCGAGGGAAAGGAATGGTAGCTCAGCGGGCGCCCTCCATGATCTTGGCGTACCCGTTCTTAAAGATGTCTTGAAGGTTGGTGGTCACCGTGTGAATCAGCGACAGCCTAAGCTAATGATGCGATACGATCGTAGATTCCATCACTCACGTCTGAACACCAGCTTGGGATGCCGGACCTTCTCCCGCCTTCGCCCTCGCCGGTCGTGCAACCGACCCGAAGCTTCATACCTTCTCCCAGTTACCTAGGCGGCCCGCCTACGGAGAGGAAGTTCGGGCATTCGCCTTCGCACAGTCGGTCGCACAGTCGGTCTCATTCGCGCTCCGGCTCGCCGACCAACGGTGGACCAGATGGGTCCTCGCATGCTCGCACGCTGTCTCATAATCGCTCAATGTCCCTCAACAAGTACTCTCTTGGGCCCGAAATCAGACCCCTGGCTTATACACCCGCTATGCTATCAACAAGGGAGGGCTTGGCTGCCGAGCTGAGCGGCAGACTAGAGGACCTCTCTCAGCTGCTCTCGGCGGTAGAGAATGGCTTGGCACATTTTCTGGATGACGTAAGTCGGGATACCATCATCGAGGAAGAGCAAGAATCCGACATAGGCGGCGATGAACTATTTGCGACGAACGGCCCTACGGCGCCTCCGGAAGGCTTTGAACTTGTTACGACGGCTAAGTGAGCTCGCGTGCTTTTTCCTTTGTCCTCGATTGGTCACCCCCGGCGAGATTCCCGCCTCTCCCTGCTTCATTTGTCGGTCCCATCACGGAAAACTAATCGCGTCCCAATGTAACGTATCTCAATATAATCGGTGTTATATGAATCCGCGGGCGGTGAGATACTCCGTACATGTGGCAACGGCCTGGGTCACGTCACACTGGTCGGTTCTGATGTGGATCTCGGGGTTCTCTGGTGCCTCGTATGGCGCTGAGATTCCGGTGAATTCTGCCGTTGGCACCCAGGATTAGCCTCTTGGCAAGACGGCGGGAGACATCTCGGGACGTGTACCTTTCAACTCGCCCGCTCGCGCCTTCTTGTAGAGGCCCTTGGGGTCGCGCTGCTCGACGACGTCCAGCGGAGCATCAACATAAACTTCTATGAAAGGCAAACCGGCTTTCTCGTGAAGATCGCGGGCGACAGCGCGATCCGCGCGGTAGGGCGAGATGAACGCCGTGAGAGTGACGCATGATGCATCCGTGAAGAGCTTGGAGACCTGCGATGGGAAAACACGACGGTCAGCATAATCGTCGGCCAGTTGGCGGACAAAAGGCGCACTTCTCCTATCCTCCGGATGTTCTCGTTGCGGGATTTCTCGTCGAATCCAAGATCCTTGTTGAGGCCGAAGCGGACATTGTCGCCGTCAAGGCGGTAGGTGAATTTGTGCAGATGGAGGAGATGCTGCTCCAAGGCGCAAGCTATCGTTGACTGCCCGAAGGCGTTATCAGGCACGCTCGGATACGATGTGCATCACCGTCCTGACCTTGCCGCTGGCGCTGAGGCCCGTGAACCAGATCGTAACGCCCTTCTGGGATAGGAGCTGCTGCCGTTCAGTCTGCGACACCGAGCCTTCGCGTAACGAGAACGTTTCCTCCTCGTCAGTCAAGGTTCTCCTGATCAGACGGGTTAACTACGCTGACCAGGGTGAAAGGTTATGTTGGTCGCCATCTGAATGCGCTAGCCCCGGCGGCGAAAACGAGCAGCCCATCGTCGATCGAGAATGATGTTGATAAAAGTTGGGAGAGGTCAGGTGCGAACGGATTGCGCGATGGCATCATCATCCTGCTGACTTCGTCGCTGGCCCTTCGCGGAGCCCGTCCACTGAAAGCCCGACTCGAGTCCGATGCCGCTCGGATTCAACTCCTCCCGGATCTCCTAACATAGGGACTCTTGCGTGGATTCTATTCCTGAGTGTTACAGATGTGGGTGCCCGTAGGCGTGCACGGCTCCGGCCATAGTAAGGTGCGGCGTGATCTATCGCTACTGTCCGCAAACACCGCCGAGACGTCCAGAACTTCATTGCTCTCGTCAGTTTCCTCCTACGCTTCGCTCTCGGTCGTCTCCTCTGTGTCGGTCGTGTTCTGCGTGCCTGTCCCTGTCGCGGCCTCGCTCTCGGTTTCGTCTCCATCATCTTCATCTTCGGAGCCTTCTTCCTCGGACGCCGCGGCCCAATCGCTGGTCTCAAGACGCTCGTGTTTATACGTTTCTGGACGAAGCTCAGTCAGCGGTGGATATGGGTGAAGAGCCACGCGCGCTCACCGCCTGCTTCGACTTCGTATCCCGCCTGTGTGACGCAGCGTACCAGTTCGGCTTTGGGTCCCACCTTGGTACTTTTGCCCAATATGCACCCCTCCAGCTTAGCGCTGATCGAGAATCCCGTCAGACACAGTTGCACTGGTATCCCAGAAGTGACTCCTGCTCACCCATCGGCGATAACGCAGTGATCCAGAAGGACACAGCCCACGACCTTCGCCATCTTCCCGATGACGCAGTGCGGGCCGATGATCGAGCGCTTGATGCTCGCCCGCTCTTCGACGCGGGTCGACTGCCCCACCATCGAATCGGACGAGATGTTCGCCTTGGGGTCGATGAGAGCTCGGTTTTCCGGGTCGCTAGGGAGGGAGTACGTCGTTTGGGTGAGGAACTGCGGCGTCTTGGTCAGGCGCGGAACAGTTAGAGTGTCCGGTTAACGTACGTGACGATTGAGTTCGAGATACGAGTGAAGGTTGTTTGCGCGTCCGGTGAAGCCGTCCCTCGCGCGGTGGACGACGACGCCAACCCGCAGACTGGCGGAGGAGGTGGGCTTTTCCTCCGAGTCTTCCGTGTCTACCGAGTCCGCGCCGGAAGTGGGTGACTGCAAGTGTAACGTCGAATGTCGCAGCGCCGTCTCCTGCGAAGTTGAGTTGGTGATCGGCGCAAGTACTATAACCGGCCGGCGTTAGCCTCCTGGGCCTGAATGATACCCACAGGGGGTTACCTTGTCCGTACTTCTGTCTCCGGGTGCGCTGGTACTGCGGCTTGCAGAGCCAGGGGATGAATTCGTCGCGAATGGAATCGAGGTCGGATTTCTGTTCCAATGCATCCAGGATAGTACGTTTGCAGACGTAGACGTGCGAATCTTGGAACACAGAGGATAGCCTTGTCCTGGGATACCTATGAACAACGGGGTGCCCGTCAGCCGGGAAGAGGGGAGCAGCGCTGATCGTACTTGGAAAGGAGGGACATCCGGAGCTCGATCTCCTCTGCGTTGCGGTCCGAGTCGTCGGGGGTGTCAATGTGCAGCAAGGTCCCGGTCGTCTCGTCGTACACGATCGGCACCCTCTGCGCAGGCATCCCCCATTCATCGATGAGACTGTTCTTGTCCGGCTTTGGGGCTTCGATGAAACACGCGGTCGCGATCGCCCCGTCGCTGACGGTCTCTGTCCTGAACTTGTCCAGTAGCGTGGAAAGAGGCAGGTTCGGAGGAGGGATGAGGTCGCAGGGAAGCAGCACGAAGTCGCGCTTGATGCGGTTCGCAAAGTGGCGGAGGACGGTGCAGGTGCCGACGCTGAGATCTTGCGTCTCGTCGAACGTTTGGAGGTCGATGCTTAAGGAGGGAAAGGACGAGGAGGAGTGGACATAGTGCGATATCGGCTCTTTATGGACGGCAGGGCAGATCAAGAGGACGTCTACGGGAAATGATGAGGCGTGACTTCCATAACACGGAAAGAGAGGCAATCTTACCTTTGATGCCAGATTGCTCGAGCCATGCGAGCGGGTATTCGAGCATTGGTTTGTTCGCTATCGGTAGCAAAGCTTTTGGGCATGGTTCGTCCCCATGATCGCTGGTCAAGGGGCTCGTCAAAGGTATTAATCTATATCCGCAGTGAGGATCTGAGCGCTTGAACGAAGAGTTATACCTACACTCACTCGTTCCCGAAGCCCGCGAGGACGACGGCCAAAAGCTCGGGGACGACGTGTATCGACTGGCTCACAGCAAAATCCATAGTTGTGTCGGTAGTGATCCTGGCTCGGTGATCTCAGTCCTCGACGGCCAGATTGCCAATGCTCGCAGTTGTGACTCGGTCTGACTGACTGTGCAATCGAGGATCAATTGAAGGAGCAGATGCCACGTGATCTCCTATCAGTGAACTCTAATTTTTGACCCAGTCGCCGCCCGCGCTGTGAGTCTCTGTAGCGCTCAGATATCCTCGTTTGCCCTCTCTCGCGATCATGTCCAGATTTTTCAGGCAAGCTGGCGACTCCGACAGTGACAGCTCTTCCTCTGAGGAGGAGGAGCTCATGTCCTCCGACGATGAGCGCCAGGCAAAACCCGCTGCGCCCGCGCAGAAAACACCAATGTCCCGGTTCCTCCGCACGGCGGGGTCCGACTCCAGCGACGAATCGTCGTCCGACGAAGATGAAGAGAGTATGAGTGAGGCAGAGGGGGAAGCAGCGCCCAAGCGGTCTCGGTTTCTGAGGACGGAGGAGGACGAGGAAGGCAGCGACGAGGACGGTGGAAAGCGGGTCGTGAAGAGCGCGAGGGACAAGCGATTGGAGGAGATGGAGGCGGCGGGCAAGGTGATGGACAACGCGCTCAAAATTAACGATTGGGTCGCTATATCGAATGGTCCGTCAGGCGTTTGAGCACGGTGATCGCTGATCTCAGACGGGGATGCGCAGAATTCGACAAGCTGGTTCGTATGGTCCAGCGCCAACAGAACGTTTCGGAGCCCGTCCCGTCGTTCTATATTCGTACCCTCGCCAACTTGGAGACGTCGCTGAACCAGGCGGTGGCGAAGGAGAAGGAGGCCAAGAAGATGAATGCCAGCAATGCCCGTGCCCTCACCGCGATGAAGCAAAAGGTCAAGAAGACTATTAAGGAGTATGAGGATAGTATCAAGCAATACCGCGAGGTACTCGAATTTCAACTAGCAATTGCCAGTATATGTATGACGAGAACTGTAGGACCCGGAAGAATTCGAGCGGAAATACAAGGCTTCTTTGTCTGCCGGTCAACCACCTACTGCATCCAGAATTACTAGGGCGAGGAGGGCTGCAGAAGAAGCGGAGGAAGAAGGGGAAGGAGACGGCTTCGAGACCGTGGGGAGGGGTGGCAGGACCATGCAATTCACCGCCGATTCCATATTCAAGCAGCTGCAACTTATTCAGGAGGCTCGCGGAAAGAAGGTCAGACCAGTCATCCTGCTTGCCACATTGCGGCCATTCAGATATTTCGTGATTAGAACACAGACCGCCTGGAACAAATACGTATCCTCGAAAAGCTCCTCGAAGTTGCCGTGACTACCTACCAGCGCATCCGCATCCTCCTTGCCTTGGTCTCCTCTCGCTTCGACTTTACCCCTGCTTCAGCCACTCATATGTCTATCGAGCTATGGCTTGCCGCCCAGCGTGAGGTTGACCAGCTGGTGGCCATCGTCGCCGCCGAACGGGCGTACTCCATCCAAGAGGTTACGGAAGAGTACGAGGAGTTCGTCGAGCGCAGTCCGGAAACGGAGAAGGATGGCATCGTTCACATCCGTGGAAGCATCATCAGCTTCGTGGACAGGCTGGACGATGAGTTCACCAAGAGCTTGCAGAACATCGACCCGCATGGTACCGAATACGTGGAACGTTTGAAAGACGAGAAGGGGCTCTACTGCACCATCTGCCGGACACAGGCCTTATACGAGATCAGCGACCAGGATGATTCGTTGGCGCGAGTCATCATGCGGAGGCTTGAGCACATTTATTCGAAGGTTTGTCGATCCTTCGAACTAGTTACGTGCAATACCTCATTCCAACACAACAGCCCGACGCAGTGGTCAACGCTCTCGAGTCTGCTGCCAGCTCAGCCGGTGTGAAACCCAACATGACGCTCGAATCTGCCGGTTCCTCTTCCGCCCTCATCCGCTCGCTCTGCGTGCATCTCTACAAGTCCGGCAACTCCCTCCTCCGCACGCGGGCCATGCTAAGCCACATTTACCACCACGCGCTGCACAACGACTTCTATACCGCGCGCGACATGTTGCTCATGTCGCATCTTCAGGAGTCCATCCACTCTGCGGACGTTGCAACGCAGATTCTGTACAACCGCACTGTCGTGCAGCTCGGACTCTGCGCGTTCCGTTGCGGCCTGATCAAGGAGTCCCAGGCGACGCTCCAGGACATCTTCACGACCCAGCGCGTGAAGGAGCTGCTCGCCCAGGGTGTGCACCAGCAACGGTATCAGACGCTGACGCCGGAGCAGGAGCGCGCGGAGCGCCAGCGCCAGCTGCCGTTCCACATGCACATCAACACCGAGCTGCTCGAGGCGGCGTTCCTCGTGTCGAGCATGCTCGTCGAGATCCCGCTCCTCGCCAGCCTCGACTCGGAAGAGCAGAAGCGGAAGGTGATCTCGAAGCCGTTCAGGCGACTGCTGGACTTCGCGGATCGCCAGGTGTTCACGGGCCCGCCTGAGAGCACGAGGGATCACATCATGCAAGCCAGCCGGGCGCTGCAGGACGGTGATTGGCAGCACTGCCGGGACCTCATCCAGAGCATCAAGATTTGGAGCTTGATGCCCGAAGCCGCTTCCGTCAAGGACATGTTGGCGAAGTGAGCATAAGCCATCCCTTCCGTAACGAAAGCGAAGTCGCTGACGCGTCGCTTTCTCTTAGGCGCATCCAAGAGGAGGGCCTGCGCACCTACCTCTACACTTACGCGCCGCATTACACCACGCTGTCGCTCTCCGTGCTCTCGCGCATATTCTCCCTGCCCGTGCGGAACGTGACCTCGATCATCTCGAAGATGATCTGGAACGAGGAGCTTCCCGCGTCCATTGACCAGTCCGCAGGCGTCGTCGTCTTCCATCGCGTAGAGCTCTCGCGGACGCAGCAGCTTGTGCAGACGCTCGCGGAGAAGGTCGCGGCTATGGTCGAGCAGAGCGAGAAGGCGATCGACCTTAAGCTCGGCAACACCCCCGGCTGGAGCCGCGAGGATGGCAACAAGGGCGGCGAGCAGACACAGGAGCGTCGGGGGCGGCGGGAGGGTGGGCGTGGCGGCCTTCGTGGTATGTCTTCTGCATTCAGATTTCGATATCTTAATTGACCAAACGCTTTTTGAAGGCGGCGCACGTGGTGGACGCGGTGCACGCTTCGCGCAAGGACTCGGCAATCAGATGGCGGGTGGAAGGTAGGGACTATGACTCGGTGTATCGCAATATGCATGTCTTCTGTATGTTATGGTGTCCATGTACTAGGCAAAATGCGATGGCCGCTGGCAGTTGCTGACCCCGATCACGGAAATGGGAATATGTGCTCAAGATGAGAACGAAGGCTCCCTTCGGTGAGCGGCAAGACGCGGCTACCGGTTGTCAGCCCCTTCCGCCATCCGAAATCACTCAGAATTGTTCATATTGCGTAGGAGCCGTAATACCCCTCGCAGGCAATCGTCAATGTGAAGAGCAAAGATATATCGTAATTCGAGAGGTTGCACCATTTTCAGCGCCAGCGCGCATCGGCCACCAAGTGAACGAACCTCGAACCCCAATCCTAAGCCCACGGCGTCAAATCACTTGAGTATTTGAGATCTACTTACTATGCTCAAGTGATCAAACGTTGAACTAGAATTGGAATCAATATGGTGGAAACGTGCCAATCGACCGCAGTCACCATCTCTACCCTCGGCGTTCAATCAAGCTCCATAGACGCATCCGAAAGGCGTATAGCCTCGAACTCGAAAAATCGCTCGTGAAAACTTGCGCTACCCATCCGCCCTGCCCGAAAAGAGGGTCGGCGTCAGCACCAAAGGCGACAGTCCAGCGGCTAGGCGTAGGACACTAACCGAGCAAATACATGTCCTCTGAGGAGAACGGCGGCAGCTGCTTGGATGCCGCATCGAATCCGAATCCGACCCTCTGCGAAGGAGGAACGTTCAATCCAGCGTGAGCGACGTCGTAAGAACAGCGCAGAGGCCAGACCCGCACACCTTCGGGACGATCTTATTGACGTCGCGCATGCGGATGCCGAGCCGTCGAGCGACTGCGTGGAATCCGTTCGACGCGAGGTATCTTTGGAAATCGCCGTCGTCGTCGTAGAAGGCGTTGATGGTCTCGAGGAATCTGAACGCGGCAGACGAAGGCGGCCAATACTCCCATCCGCGATTGGTGAACACGTCGGAGTTGAGATACCTCCTCTGTCGCAAAGTGATTTAGAGCATCAGCGTGTCTTCCGTACTTCGTAGTTTTCCGCCCGCGCGCTGACCTCGCGCGACCGCTTCATGATAGGGCCGTCGAGTACGTCGTCCTCGAGATCCGCTTGTCCCGGTGCCCGCCAATTCATAGAGTACATCAGCATCGCGGCGTGGGGGTCAGCAGGATTCAGTAGCGACCCCCAACCCTCGAGCATGCGGCGGATGCCCACGTAGTCAGACACGTTCGACGTCTCCACCCGGTCGAAGCGCGGCGGCCAGAACGGGGCGAGGAACGGATCGGAGCGCGCCTTAATCACGTCCGCGAGTGCGAGCGCGTCGCTCGACGTGATGCGGACGTCGAGCTTGAACCGACGCAGGCGGCGCGCGAATTCGGCGAGCTCGTTCTTCACGTGAAAGTAGAAGCAACCGAAGATGTCCTCCGGAGTGCAGCCGTGCTCCCGGCCGGTGGCCACGCAGTCGCGCGCGTCCCAGCCGTAAAGGGGGCACTCGGCGTCTCTCGTGAGCCACTCCGCGTTGCGGGAGAACATGAAGCTGTGGGTCGGGGTATGAGCACACGCGGGGGCCCTTTGGAATAGCAACGATCGTCGTACCGGTTGGGTTCAGTATAAGCCGAGAGGTCGGCTCCGAAGGGCAGGACGATGCCCGTGGACCAGTACCTGACAAACGCCAAACGATGCGCGGGCGATAGCCAAGACAAATGCCGTTCCTTGAAATCCAGCCTCTCAGGCGCCTGCACGACGCCGAGCATGGCTTCTCGTGCCTTCGACCAGGGGAAAGTCGATGCGCCCATCCCAATCAGATACGCGAAAACGTGCACCGAGAACGTGGCCTGCACTGTCCCGCCGTCGTTGTCGGCATCGTAGCGGCACGAGTAATTCTTCATGCCTTCAAGATTCGGCATGGCCTGCGTGAAGATCCGCTGGACGATGAAGGAGACGGAGCTAGCGTGGTCAGGGGTCACCGCTGCAGAGTACAGGAGGTGAAAGACGAGCTCGATGTCGCGCTCGAAATCGCCGGCGAGATGTCCGGCGAGGAAGAGTAGGGCCATCAGGTTCCGGCTCGTGACGACGGGATCGTGGTCGTTCATGAGGACGGTACACGACCCGGAATAGTCACTGGGAAGGGCATTGACGGTGCGGATCAAATGCCGGAGATCTCCCGAAGCTGAGAATAACCGCAGTAAGTATCAATATCGCTCGGACTCCAACAGTGAACGAACGACGTGCGCGCACCTACGAAACCGAGCGTGAGGTCCCTGTTTCTGATCTCACCTTCGTTAGCCTCAGCACGCAGACAGTCCATAGCCATCACATTTCCCCATATGTGATGCTGGAGAGTCCCAAACGCAGCGTGAGTGCCTTGATGGTGTGCCTGCGCCACGAATGCAGGCTCCCGCTTCTGCGCAATCCACTGCGGCGTCCAGTTTTCCTTCCGAAGCCGGCTCTTGCACACATCCTGATGTCCCTTATGCCAGTGTGCAAGCTGGCAAGCCTTCGAGCAATACTAGATATCGCGGATCGGGCTCAAAAGCCACATCGTGCAGAAGAGTACTCTGAGCACGGACCAACACTAAGCGACACTGTATGAGAATGCGAATCAGCAGGCATTCGCAGTGGGCGCCATGTAGTATTTCGGTGACGTACTTGTGAGCAAACCTGGGCGCCGTCTTTGGCACACTTGTTGTTGCTGGCAGCAGCGCAAGGGACTCGCTGTAGACCATGTAGCAGGGACATCGCTACGACGTCTCGTTGAACGTGCTACTTCCCCGTAGGCATTATGTACTACTGAGCACGCGGTCGGTGATCTGCGTCGCCAAAGCTAGGACAACTAGCAGCATGTTGCTTGAGCTAAGGAAGAAGCGAGCGCTGGTCTGTCATCATTGGATTCTGGAGCATGACGCGATTGGATTCGCCGAGGTGATATGAGGTAGAGCATTAGTGAATCCAGCAGATCTGGTACTCGCAAGTCTTGATGTGCAAACTCGTTAGTCTCATTGCACTCGAGCTGCGACTCAGGTCACCGAAGCTCGTCAACCCCATGTTTGACCTCCGTGCAAAATCCCCGAACTCGGGAAGTCAGGTGATTATCGACATCGTGTTGGCCAAAGACTGTATGTTCCTAACTAGAAATTGGAGGTTTGGCTCGCGTCCTTACTTGCCGTAAGGAAGTCAACTTGACCTTGGCAAGTTGGCAGCTGAGCAAGGAGGAACTTCGAGCGGAGTCTGAATATGAATCGCCGACTCGCCTATCAAACACCGCCATGAACTTCCCGCGTACGGGCAACCATTCCACTTTCGAGCTGCTTGGCACGCTGTCGACTGCACGAGTGGCGTACGTGCAGCGCAGCAACCGGCTGTTCCGCTACCGGGACCTCGTCGGCAATCTACCTACCTACCTACCTACCTACACCCCTCTCTACCTTTGTAGCAGTGTAACTTGTAAATCCATAATCCTATCGAGGATGCATCTCCGCACGGATATCGGTTGTTTTGGGAATTGGCAAAGTCCATCGCTGATGCTCTGGTGCTTCCTGAACTTCCGCCATGTGTAACGCATATCACGGGATGGCATTCTCCACTCGTAGATGTTCCCTGCTGGGTTGCTCAGCGCAAGTGGCGACTCGAGCCCTATGCTCACTTGGTCGGCAGTATCAGCATCGAACGTGGTCGTCGACAGCGGACCACAGTGCGTGACATACCGACTGACCAACATAGAACCCCCGATGTCCTGAAGTGTCCTGCAGAACTTGCTCTACACCGCTTCCTGGTGTTCCCACAAGCATGGCACTTGTCCTCGATGAAGTCGGCCATCAGTTCGATTACCCTTGTCTGAAGCCATGCTTAAGATGGATGACACCGTAAAAGGCGTTGAAACGGTGTCTCGTCACTAGGCCCCCCCAGACGACCTCCTCCCACCATACTTTGAACCCTGCTGAAGCCTTATGCATCTCCGCAAGCTTTTGATCGCTGTCGTATCCATCAGCGGGTCCTCCCCGTCAGCTCTGGTTCAGGCCGTCCAGGTGCAGAAAGCGGGTCTGACCGTACCTGCGAGTGCCGCTGCGTAGAAGGCGGCAGTCAAGAAAATCTTTACGGACACCTACTCCGCCTACAGGTGCGCTATCTAATCGCTGCGAAGGACGGTTCTGACAGATCTGATAAGAGAGTATGCGTTCGGACACGATGAACTCACTCCGGAGTCCAAGAGCTTTTCCGATAGCCTCGGCGGCTGGGGGGCATCGATGGTCGATGCCATGGACACTATGGTGAAGCCCTATCAAGCATCCGTGGCGAGATGGTCGATGATCGCCGTTGTTTTTACAGCTGATTATGGGCATCGAGGTGAAAGAGCGGTCGTCTGATCGGTTCACGAGAGCCGTACTCACATGCATTTAGGACTGGTTCTTGGAGGCGGTCAACAAAACCGCGGGTATCGATTTTAATACCACAACAACGGACAGTACTATCAGGCGCGTGCTTCTATACACCAAGGATATGCCCTTGCCCATTTTCTTGCAGCGTCTTCGAGACCACGATTCGCTACGTGGGCGGCCTCCTGGCCGCGTACGAGCTCAGCGACCAAAAATATCCTGTACTCGTCCAAAAAGCGCAAGAAGTCGCGAACAAACTCGTGTTCGCATTTACTGGCGTGAGCACCATCGCTTTGTCGGGCGATACAGCATCCTAATCGTGAGATTTCCAGTCGAGCCCAATTCCATTCGGACACCTCAACTTCACCACCAACACTCCTGGCACCGAATCTGTATGTCTTTCTTAGTATTGTGACCACGTGGCGCTCATGTGCGTCCAGACTAGCGTGGCAGGGGCTGGAACAGTAAGGATGGATCCGTGCTGTCTCTCTCCGCCTGACTCAAGACCAGATTTCGTCAGCTCTCGCTCGAGTGGGACCGCTTGACGTAAATTTTCGTGAGCGGTACCTTCGTGATCCATCGCTCATGATGCGCGCTATAGCCACTACACCGGCAACACCACGTACCAAAACTTGGCAGTCGCGGCGGTTGAGCACATCGCCAGCTTGGTGGGTTCGAGTTGCTCGCCCGATTTCTATGCACCGCACTCAGACGCCCGCCTTGATAGCCCGATCCACTCCCGGGCCTGCCAGCACAGGGCATTGACGCATCTACCGGCGAGTTTGTGGGCGCCTACGTGGTGCGTGTCAGTCCCCTGGTCATTTTTGCTGTCTTATAGTGGTTGGCGCAGACCTGGGGTGGAGGCACGGATAGCTACCTCGAGTACCTAATCAAGTACCCCCGCTTGACCAACGACCATGACGACCTTGCGACCGTCTGGGCAACCGCCGTTGACAGTTCCATCCGGACCCTCCTCAGCGTAAGCTTCTTACACATTTCGTTCGATGCCTGTTGAACGGCAAGTCTCCCTTCAGACCTCAACCGTCGGCAATTGGACCTACCTCGCCGACCTCACAGATGACGCAGAAATTCGCGTCATCGGATCGCATCTTGCGTGCTTCCACGGCGGAAACTGGCTCATGGGCGGTCAAATGCTCAACAACCAGACCATCGTCGACATCGCGCTCGAGCTCGTCGACGCCTGCTGGAACACGTACGCGGCCACCGCGACCGGCATCGGGCCCGAAGCCTTCGCGTGGATCTCGCCTCAGACCAACTTTTCCGGTGCGACGCCGTCCGCGGACGATCTTGCGTTCTACCAGGAGCATGGCTTCTACATCTATCCCGGCGACGGATTCTGGGTGCAGCGTCCGGAGGTGATGGAGAGTAACTTCTACGCATACCGCGTCACGGGCGACACGAAGTACCTCGACCGCGCGGCGAGTGTCGTGGAGAGCTTCCAGCAGTTCACCCGCGCCTCGCAGACGGGCGCGTACGCTCCGATCAACGACGTCAACTCGAACACCACGACGCTGATGGACGATACGCAGTCGTTCTTCTACGCCGAGGTGCTCAAGTACCTCTACCTCACGTTTGACGATCCGGACCATATCAGCTTGAACGACTGTGCGTTCCGCTCCCCTTCCTTGCTCTCTTATCTGGAATTGCTTATGCCGACACCATCTGATCGAAGTCGTATTCAACACCGAAGCGCACCCGTTCAAGGCTCCTCCCGCCAAGGCGACTTACGGCACGGGCAAGCTCAACCCACCAAACAACACGGGCGGGTCGCGCACCAAAGCGCAGCCCGCCAATCTGGCCCAGATCAGCGAGGTTCCCATCGCGCCCAAACAAATCGCGGATCTATACAAGGGATTCTGAGTGCTGCCCCCCTCCATGTTATTCCAGGAATCCGATCCATAGCAGTATCACGAGCGTTGTAGACCAGTTTTTATACGAGCAATGGAGGCCATGTTCCACGCGTTCTCCACGGGGACAAATGGAAGGCGACGTCGCGCCGAGCGCGCAGCAACGACGAGGATCATCGCCAAAATAGACAAGGCAGAACGAAGTGACAAGCCCGCCCCTGTCCGGGCAGAATGCTGTCGATCGCGTCAGAGACCGGTGCCATCATACCGTCCCTCCCCCCCAAGGGAACGACTGTGTCTCCTGCTCGCCCAAGGGCGGGTTCTCTCAAGCAATCATCCGATGCGCGCAAGCCCGCAACTTCCACCTCACCTCGCCGTTCTGCCATTTCCCCCCGCGTTTCGTGCCCCCCCCCC